ATAAACACACACACACACAATTTTAACTAATGCAAACAAAAGCAGACACACGTGTAAATATATAGTCACATACATGCACACTCACGATCAGGCAGTGGCGTTCAGTAAGTCGCAAGAGTTTTGTTACTGGACAAAATTAATGAGGTGTTCGCACTTGTTGCTCTCGATATCTGACAAGCATCTGATGCAACATGGTGTGATTAAATTCAAGAAAGGAGGGCCTATTACCTGTTTTGACTAAATACATGTAATATGAGTTTAGTCTTGCCATGTCCACAATGTGTAAAAAGAGTTTTTTATACCATTTGATTGATTTTCTGAGGCTGTCTACACAACTCAAAAGCATATCAGCTTTGTCAATGATACGCATTTTTCGGGTATAGTCAACCACAGCTTCTGGCTTCCTTATTGGCTCACCGGTAGAGTAATCTCTTTTCTCAGTTTGAATAATCTTGTTTTCGTGAATTGATGTTAACATATGGACCATTCGTTTGGCAGACCACTTGAAGCACATCATGTTGTTCTTGTGGCAAGCACTAACTTCCCCCCGGTTGACTGCAGGGAACGAAGGCACCCCTTTTCTGTTTGGTCGAACTGTGCCACAAGCTCCTGTACTGTTTTGCTGCAGGTGTTCAAACAGAATTGGACTGGCGTAATAACTATCTGTGAAAAGATTATGTCCTTTCCCCAGGTATGGTTCTATCAAAGCGTTGACTATCGAACCAGCAAAACCAAATTTTGAGTCAACCTGAACCTCAGTTTGTGCTCCAGTGTATAATATAAAATCCAAGATGATACCTGTCTCAACATCACAAATTAAAAATAATTTTAGGCCGAATCTGTGGCGCTTATTAGGCATATACTGACGGAACGCAAGTCTACCTCTCCACAGCACCAGACTTTCGTCAATGCACAAATCTTGGAAGGGCTTAAATTTCGTTGAAAACTTGTGCCTGATGTCAATCATTACCCTTCCTATCTTTGATAATCTGTGATTCGCATCATTTTGATTGTCACTGAAATGAAGATGACGCAGAATTAGTAAAAATCTATCCCTACTCATTATTGTTCCAAATATTGGTGTTGATATGAGAAAGTCTGTAGACCAATAGTCATTTATCCTATGTTTTTTTACATGAGCCATGGCCATGCACAAACAGAGGAATATTCGCATTTCATTTATATCTATTGGTTTCCACTGATGCATTCGGGAACTTGGTGGGTAGACATCCTTGTTCATCAGATATTCATGATATGCATTTGACTGTTGCACAATGTCGTCGATGAGAGCATTATCAAAAAACTCGAGGAAAAAGTCGAGCTCCTCGGAGTCCCTCAGTGACGGAGCAAGTGTTGCTGATCCCTGCATCTTCTTCGAAGGGGAAGAGAACAGGACGGAACTCAGAAAACCTCCATTCATCTGGCTGCTCCAGGACGGGCTCACCTCCATCATCTTGATGTGACACACCTGTTTCAGGATGTGGTTCTTCGTCACTTTTTATAAATAAGATCACAGTTACTTATGAAAGATCTGGCAGGAAATGTATTTTCAAGTATATTTATTTGAAAGGCAACACGCAATGTGTGTTGATGCCTGAGAACAAGAGAATGTTATGTAGAAAGTAGAGAACATTTGTAAATATAAGCATTATAATATTTGCATATGTGTATAAGAGCGTTTGTGTGTTTTTTTGTGTTAAAACGGCTGTGTGTGTATTTTGAAGTTATGTGCAAAATTACGTGTATTTGTGCGTTAGAACATTTATGTGTGAGTTAGAGATTGTGCTATCAGGGAGTATTTGCATGTATATATTTGTTTGTATGTGTATGAGAGTGGTTGTGTTTCTCAGAGATTTTCAATAACCAAACGTGTAAATTTAAGTGTAATCTATGTGCTTGCGTGATATGGGTTACTCCCGCGATACTTCTATGTACCTATGTTCCCAAATACGATGCGATTCCTTTGTTCCTCGTGCCGATGATCCCCAGAATGTATTAGGTACCGGTGCATCCCGGTATCTATAAGGTACCAAAGTTTCCTGGCACCTATATTCCCCAATTCGTATGTTAGCCAGGGGCAAATACTCACTGGTCCCTATGTGCGCTAGATAAGGAAATAAGAACTGGATACCACTTGATGCGTATGTATGAGAATTTCAACATTTTTGATGCAGGTGAATATTGTTCATATGTAGAAAACTTCGGCGTAATTTTATATAATTTGTATATAAATGTCTGTGATAGGACATGTGTGGATTTGTGCACACAAGTCCGTGTGTATTATGAACAGTAAGTTTAGGGCATCTGTATAATTATTCTCCCCCCCCCTCCCTTTCTCTCTCTCTCTCTCTCTCTCTCTCTCTCTCTCTCTCTCTCTGCCTTTCTCTCTTTCTCTCACTCTCTCTCTTTCTTTATCCCCCTTTCTGTCTCTCTCTTTCTCTTTCTCTCTCTCTCTTTCTCTCTCTCTCTCTCTCCCTCTCCCTCTCTCTCTCTCCGCTCTTTCTCTCTCTCCTCTCTTTCTCTCTCTCTCCGCTCTCCCCTTCTATCTCTCTTTCTTTATCCCCTTTCTGTCTCTCTCTATTTCTCTCTCTCTCTCTCTCCCTCTCTCTCTCCCTCCCTCTCTCACTCTCTCCCCTTCTATCTCTCTTTCTTTGTCCCCCCTTCTGTCTGTCTCTCTCTCTCTCTCTCTCTCCTTCCTCTCTCTCTCTCCGCTCTTTCTCTCTCTCTCTCTCTCTTTCTTTCCCCCTCTCCCTTTCTTTCTCTCTCTCTCTTTCATCTCTCTCTCTCTCTCTCTCTCTCTCTCTCTCTCTCTCTCTCTCTCTCTCTCTCTCTCTCTCTCATCTCTTTCTTTCCTTTCTCTCTCTCTCTCTCTCTCTCTTGTAAGAAAGTATGAGAGAGAGAGAGAGCGTAAGAGTGAGAGAGTGCGTAAGGGAGTGAGTGAGTGAGAGAGCAGACAGAGAGAGAGAAAGAGAGAGAGAGAGAGAGAGAGAGAGAGAGAGAGAGAGAGAGAGAGCAAATGGCCCACTGATTATTTACACAAACTATAAATCAACGCATATTGAACTGTATCTAAAACAATAAATCAAGTAATCTTCGATTCGTCTCAAAAGAAATCTATGTTGGTGTTGATTTTATATTTCCGGGGACCATCGGCACTGTAGTACATCGGTACTTGGGAACATTAGCATCGGGGTTGTGTGCATCAGTGGATCAGAATGTCTGGACGAAAGTGAATATTTTCACAATAGCATGTGTATGTATTGGCCCACAATAGTTTAGAATATAACGAATAATTCTAATATAATAGATTGTATTACATTCAAGGTCATGTGATATGTAATCTCTAATTACTTCATTTTGGATATTCAAACCTAATATGAGAAATTTATCACGATCAAATCTGTCTCTTCGACATAATTGCAGCGGTAATTAGCGGCTGATTACGCGTTGACCATCCGGAGAGATTTTCCCGCCAAAAGTTTCGTACATTTCTCCCCTCGCGCGAAGGTTTCGAGTAATTTATTCAAAATAAATCTTACCACTATAAAATAATAAAGTCTTAAAACAATGAAGGCAAATGAAAAAAAAAACAACAACAATATATAACACATACAGAACACAATAATGAAAAAGGAAACATTTTTTTTAAATATAATTTAACGGACGCTCGCTTGAGCCGGCCGTGGGGAGAGTTGCCAAACACCGCTAGACAACAATGCAGCAACTTTCCAAACCCGTTATGCGATTTATAAAAAATAAAATACCTGAAAAATACGAATATAAATTGAATGTTTTACACTTTAGTTCTGAAGGAAATAAAATGATAAAGATGTGCAAATAGACATTAAGTTCTAAATATGGGAAATATAACCGATTGATAGGCAGAATATGTTGCGTTACGTACGCTGTGACGCCAGCACGAGGTGTACGGAAAGCTCCTTCACGGACGGTGTGACACCCGCAGCGAAAGGGTTAAACAACGCGAAAATATTTTCGCTTTGTTCAATTTAAATTTAAGCGCGTAAAAATCAAAACTTGCCTGCAGTACTCTATAAACCAGTTAAAATGATGTTATGTTGATAAAAAAAATAATGCTGTTTCAAGGCTATTAACTATCATTATTACTTCCTTTCCGGTTTTGTCGCCCTTCTGAGGTCATGACAATGTATAAAAGTGAAAAAAATTCCCGCTAAAACAGTTCGAAAAGCACGAGATCACCATTCCAGGCGCACGCACACGCACACATGCACGCACGCACACACATATATGTTGTGTACATTGTGTGTGTGTGAGCATGCATGTATGTATATATGTACAGAGATCAATAAAGCCATTTTTATTTACGTTTGATAGTTGTTTTAACTCCGTGCTTATTCCCTCCATGAACTCTCGAATCTTTTATATATATTGTTGACAATGGTGAAAATGAAGATGGTGAGAGAGAAAGAGAGAGAGAGAGAGAGAGAGAGAGAGAGAGAGAGAGAGAGAGAGAGAGAGAGAGAGAGAGAGAGAGAGAGAGAGAGAGAGAGAGAGAGAGAGAGAGACTAATATATATACAGAGAAAATATTAGTACTGAATTCTGATTTTAAATGAGCAGAAAGACACAGTTCAGGACAAATGTACACCGCATATCCTAACGGAAGCATTTTCTTGATAAAAACAACTATCTTTTGAATAAATACAGTGATGCCTCATAACCTCTTAAGTCTCTTCTACATAAAAAATGTATTATTTGCAACGGAGTATCCGGCACAGAACCTGAACATGCATAATGGCGATTATATCATTGATGATGATAATGAATACACTACCAATTCCATTCTATCTAGCAATTACTTAGTAGATAAAACATATAAAAAGTGATTAATATTAGGGGTGTCATTAATGTACATCTCTATTCACTACACACTTCTTTAAGATTATAAAAGTGCCTTTATGAAAACATTATGGTACCTCCCGCTTGTAATATTTACGGATGGAAAATGAAATAAAAGAAACA